TGGGCAGAGCACAGATAGCCCATTGTGTAGTTTTGTGCTTAACTTCATAAACAATTATTACTCTCCAATCATGACACATTAAAATTTCGTTTTGTACCTGAAGTAAAATAAACGTATTTTCCACTTGGTCAAATGTATATACCGGTTTCTATTAATCTTTTTGTGTTTTTCTTATGAACGAGACTGTTGTTTACAGAGTTGTAAGTAAAACATATTTGTTAATAAACAATAATAAATCGCTTTGGAAGTCAACTATTTTGCCCCAAAATTGGAATTACTGCTTATCTTCTCCAAAAGGCTACCGAACACTAAGATTTAAAAATAAATATTAGTACAGTTTAGTACTCATAAAAAAGATTTATATTAAAGTTTCCTAATGAACTAGATAAGATATTATTTTTAGCATTTTAAGACCTTAATGAAGTGGCGACATCTGATGTTTTCGTAAATCTTTCAGCTACCATCATCTTACACTTAACGATTAATTGTATCGTTATCTTTTTTTTAATATAATTTCAAGGATTATTGTTTGTAAGCTTCCTACGAAACATTGGTTAAAAGTACCTTCTGCATATCACATCAGATATACAATAATATACATTCAAGATACACCTTTTCGAAAGATTTCTGACGTATTCGAGATTTGTAACAGTTAAAATAATAAATGTTATCATACCTATTCAGAAACAACAAGATAAAAAGTCTTAAATAAGCATGACTAAAACAGAGCGTTTCTTTATTTGTTACATTTATAATATTTTAAGACGTTATCGAATACTCTAATCGTACATGTGAATAACTTAAATTCATTTTAACACTCAGCATTATGTTGAGCATATGTTAAACTAACTCCTCGTTATTAATAATTACTTAGATCTACCTGTTACTTTCCCAAGAGGAAGACGTATGGGCCTCCGGGTGTGCCTTAAAGGCTTTTTTGTTTGTAATGAATTTCGCGCAAAGCTACACGAGGGCTATCTGCGCTAGCCGTCCCTGATTTAGCAGTGAAAGACTAGAAGGAAGGCAGCTATTCATTACCACCCACCGCCAACTCTTGGGCTACTCTTATATCAACGAATAGTGAGATTGACCGTTACATTAAAACGCCCTCACGACTGAAAGAGCGAGCATGTTTAGTGAGACGGGGATTTGAACCCGCGACCCTCAGATTGCGAGTCGAGCACCCTAACCGTCTTAAAGGATCAAATACAAAGGCCAATCCCTATGTCACTCACCGGGGAACTCTAAGGGTGCCTACCAGGTTTGGTAACAATCGGTTTAGCCATTTACCGGTTATAAGCGGACACCCAACACACAGAGTTTTCTCAAATAATGCTTGGCTTAGATAATGAACTCAATATAATTTTGGCAAAATTTTTGAGTTATTACAAAGAGAGCATAAATACACTCATAATATAAAATACTATAATACGGAGATTTGTAATACATTGAGTCAATTTAACACTAGAGGGCAACCAGTCAGGAACACTCATCACCTATGCGGCCTTCCTTAGCTTAAATGTCAGAATTAAAACATTTGTACAACTGAAGATGTATAGCGTGTTCAGCAGCACTATAAGAGTGACAGTCAAATCCCACTATTCAGTCATACAAGAGTTGGTGCGGGGTAAAGCTGGCCTGCTGCCATCCCTCTGCACCCCGGTGGATCGGTGGTATGTTTATAGACTTGCAACACAAAAATTCTGGGTTTGATTATCAGTGGTTGACAGAGTATAGATAGCCAATTATGTAGCTTTGCACTAAGAAAACAAACACATGAAACGTCTTCCCACTAATCTGTCAGCTCAAAATAATAGATGGCTTTGTGGCTTTACGCGAAAAATTCCAAAACAAACACATGAAACGTCTTCCCTCTAATCTGTCAGTTCAAAATATTAGATGGCTTTGTGGTTTTACGCGAAAAATTCTAAAGTAATCAAATAATGCTAATATTGAGATGAAAGGTAGTCCAACCAAACCAATATCAAAATCATCTATACGAATATTAAGAAAATACATATAAACTATACATCAATGGTAAAAATTATATTTCTTTCAGTCAGAGCAAGAGTTGGTTGAATTTTATCTCTTCTCACTAATATTTTTGTATGAATTATTTCTGTGTTGAGTTGCTCAAAAAAAGTCTGTATATGTTTTAAATCTGCTCTATATAATATTTTGCTGCGTTATTTAATGGATGTCCACTGTACAAATCCCGTTTTAGTTATATGTGTTTCAATTAATAATGATATTTTCTATTAGTTTTTGATAACCTGACATAAAGTGTTTTTCTCCTCCTTTCTTTTTCCTCACTTGAAATTCTTTCCTCTAAGCGATAGAGTTTTGTGTGTGTGTGTGTTTTTTTGTATACAGGCTAGGTTCATTTACTGCTACGACCGCTCCTAGCCTTTACTACTTTTATATTTTTTACAGCGGTCAGTAATTAGTAATCTAAAGCTAACAAGCGTCATTTTTGGTATTACCGTTTCTTTTTTCGTTTGGAAGCATTTTAAGAGACAGTGAGATAAAAGCCAAATATAAAAGCAGTTATTCCTACACAAGCAAAAGCTTTTATTCAAAATTCTACATCAACGATACACTGGATATTATCCACAACAGAATATCACGGGGCATTCCACATTTGTTGGTTTAATTATCGCCTCACAAGTTAGCAATGATACTAAAATCACGTGCAACAAAATTCACTTTACAACACTAAGTATGACGCTCCTATTAAATAACAATAAATTACCGACGAGATATTAATTCTCAATTGTATATTGTCTAACAAATTATTATGGCCAAGCAAGTTTCAAGTTTTCTAAAAAAACCAATATAATTACGTTCTACCTAGTGCTCATCCTACGAGCTGTTTCAGTTGTGGCAGGTTTACCTCCTCATAACCATTATATCTCTATAAAAACATTATTTCATTTTGAGTTCTTGGTTCAGTGTGGGAATATAATCACCGATATCAACATGTAAAAAAAAAGGCTTTCGCAGAACCGTAGCTTTATTGGAAAGGGAAATAAAAAAAAGAGTGCTATTTCGATATTAACTGAGTCGTCTGTAGGGGCAATGGTCATCGTTTGGATGTCCACCTTTCATTCAGTTCCTACAGGTAGATGGAGAAATAGTACATTCAGTTCCACCCTTTTGATCCTAACTGGCTTTGGAATAAACTTGCAGTTTGCCTCGGGTTCTGTGCTTGTCTTTCGAGAACTTCTTGTCCCTATCTTCATCAGTGATGCGTGATATGTACTTCATCTTGTCTTAAGGCCAGCCAACCAGTGTATTTAAGTTACTTTTATTTTATGTAGTTCACCCATAGGTTCAGGTTTACTTCAGTTATTATTCTATTAACTTAAATTTATATTACGTTTGTTATATATATATGTGTGTGTGTGTGTGTGTGTATGTGTTTAGTTTTGTTGTTTATCTCTTTAATTCGTCATTTAAACTTTTCAGTTTGTTTTTACCAACTTGATCCACGATGCTCCAGTTATTAGCAAAGTCTTAACTACCTGTTGACTAATTAATCTTATTTAAGATAAGCGCTCAACTAATTTGTTTTGAGATGTCAATGAAATATATTCCAAATAGCCTCAAATTGCACTATTTATACCATGTTCTCACTTTCAGATTCAGTAGCCTACATTTGTGTGCAATGACTAGCTTTAGTGAGCTTTACGAATATATCATTCATTGCCTATCTCAAGTCTCATTGTAGCTTTGAATTTATAAGAACTTCGTGAATTCTATTATCCACCTAGTATGTTTTAAGGACATAAAAAGAGTGCTTTTAGTCTTTACAGAAAAGTATTTCCGCCTTATGAAAGCATTAAAGCAAAACCCGAAGATGTCACTGTCCATATAGAATACATCACTGATGCCTTATACAGTCACGAAAAATACTCAGACTGGCAAGCAAAGAGTCGGTTAAAAATGTTATTGTCCTTTAAATAAATCAAGAAACAACAAAAACACCAATGTCACAGGGGTATAACGTAGAACCAAGAATGTTGTGAATTTATATATATATATATATATAAA